ATTGTTCAATAGCATACTCTTCGGAAATAATTATAAGTGTTTAATATGCTTAAAGCTGCTTATACTTCGCTGAACTTTTACTCTTTGCAAAAAAAAAAAAAAAAAATGAGTAATAGCCGCCATTTAAAGTTCAACGATTCGAGTTAAACTTTTTTGGGCATTCATTTAATATTCATTCATAAACTTTTAGCCAAATGCGTCGCCTTGGCCCCTTGGCTTGAATAATTTATGCATTGGCGCGGTTTTGGGCCAAAAACTCCAATTACAATAATTAAGCAAAGCAAGTGGAACACATACACACACTCGCACAGACACCCAATATATCTCTGGCTCCACACTCTTCTACTCCCCCACCCACTTTGCATGCTGCTGCTATCCATATGCATTCACCTGTACTCACACACACGCATATGTATATTCGAGTTTTGGGACCCATCTGAGAAACAAGTTTAATGCGCTTGGCTTTTAACGCATTAAAACAACATTTATAAATCATTTGTGTAAGCAGCCTAACCACACACGAACACACACATGCACTCGCACACACGCACACACGCAACCTCTCTCTGTCTCTCTCTCTATTACAAACAACATTTGCTCGTGCCGTTAATTAGAAATGCAAAAGAAATTACAATTAAACACACGCCAAAAATGTGAAATGAATATTCAAAACAAGTCATAAAAATCGAATTTAAAAGCCGCTCAAACGATTAGCAATATAAGATAACTCTTATAATTGCAAAATAAACAAAATGTATAAGTAGTGCGTTGTTGTTGCTTTGCAATGACAATTATTAGTATAGCACGCGTCCCTGGCTGCAGTCATAAAAAAGAGAGCGAAGAGAGTGAAAAGCGCTGCGTACTGGTTTCTCAAGTGGGTGCAGCTAATGCCGACTTAACTATGCTGCACGCCATTGCTGCTTATGCTTTTGATCCCGTTAACTAAACAAGCCTGTGGCATGTCGGCTGAGCGTAGGCGCAAGCTCTTCTAGTCTAATTAGTAACTGCGCGTTTATATTGCTGATCGGACGTAGAAACTGTGTGAGTTCATAAAGAGAATGGATAAAAAATAACTGAGTTAATTTAAAAACTATAAAAGTAGTTTGTTTTATTGAAATTGCTAAGTGTTTTCTTATTGAAATGGAAATGGGTGCAAAAGAGATAGCTGATTCAATTAATTTTCATATCAATTTTCATCCTGTTCTTAACTAATATTTGTTTTAAGAGACTACGAGCATTTAACACAATTGGAAGCAGTAAATCAACGTTCGTTATGCTGCTTTCGATCCCGTTAATGGAGTGAGTGCCATGCAGGCTGAGTGCGGAAGAAAGCTCTTGTCTGCACTTCAGTTAGCTTGCGCACGTCCTTTTGATCGGGGCATTTTAGTTTAAAGAGCAGCTAAAGATTAATTGAATTATTTTAATAGCTGTGCGCGCTTTAATTTGTTTTCTGTGAGTGCGTGTTAAGTGCTAATTAGTGCCATAAAATGTGAGAAGTGTTAGTGAGAGTCGACGGAGGAATAATAATTTGATCCTAAGGCTGCAGAGAAAAGAGAGCGGAGAGTAATAGTGTGAGCAAAAACCGTTGCTTAAATGTCCAGCATACAGCTTTCAATTGAGTGACAGAATGAGTGAAGGAGTGGAAGTGATTGAGTGATAAAGTGTAATGGAGGAGTGGAAGTGCAGGTTGCGGTTCAAGTGCAATTGAGTCAAATTATGTTTATTTTTATATTTATTTTCTATGTGTGCGTGTAAAATATATGTGTTTATCATGTCAGTGCCATGGTCAGTGCTGGCAAATGGAAGAGTGGGAGAGAGAGAGAGTGAAATGTTCGATTGCGAGCGAGTTTTTCGAGAATGGTAAGCGTGCTCTTATACTTTACACATATTCCAGCTTATATTAACTATTATACGATGTGCCCTCTCTAAGACACTCTTATAATATTGCTTATTTCTACCTTATCTTCTCTCCTCCAAAATATATTTAAATATATTTCTGCGGAATTTATGAAATCTAAAATGTTTTATAAAAGCCTAAATTAAACCATTTACCTAGTTTCATATTTCTCGGCTAGCTCATTAAAGCCACAAATACTGTGAACTTTATTCCACTTTTGTGTTTGCTTTGATTTCTGTTTATGCTCGTGTAATTGTAATTAATGAATTCGTATTGAATTACAAACAGCTATTGAAATAACCAATACAACCAACCTCATTTAGCAGTTGTTCAGCTTTTCTGGCCCCACCCACCAGCTTGCATCAAAGTTGCTCTAATTGAATTTTCGGATGGCGAAAGTTTCGACATGTGTCCTTTCGGCACAAAGTTTCCTTCTAGGCGCCAAGTCCTCTAATTGCAATTTGTTCTAGCCGTAGTCGTCGTAGCTCGTCGTAACCCCGCTTAAATGACGATTTATGTGCTTAGCATTTACGTTACATAATGGCGCTAAATTAGTTTGCCTCGACTTACGGGCCGCAATAAGTTCCTGCCACACCAACATAAGGTACACAATTCAATTGGCCAAATCCCACGCTTGTCGCCACATTAAGTGCCATTGATTGCGGCATTAAGCGCCGTAAGAACGTATCCACAAAATACTTCAGACGACTTTGCGCTAGCTGTAATTAATTGAGATTACTATTAATATGTGATATTTATGTTATATAAATCTAAGAATTAAGACAGTTGAAGTTTATTCTTAATAGATGAAAACTCTATTAACAAAAAACCAATGAAATATGTTTGCAATATAAATCTATATATAGTCTTTAGTATATGTTATATAAATATATGCTAATGCTAAATACTTTTTTCCTTCTTTTAGTTGCCACTACTATTTTTGTGAACAATTCAATTTCGTTAATTTTTCCTCCTGAAGCCGTGAAGTGCACATGTTCCTAACTTTGCAAGCTGAAAACATTTAAATTAATAACAAAATATGTTAATCTTAAAGTTCGTTTCAAATTATTTTCAAAATATTGGATTTATGTTTAGATTTGTTATTATAACATTAAGTGCTCAGTCGCACTACTATTTTCATGAACACAGCAACAAATGCATATCTACATAGATATATAATAGTACGTCTAATATTCATAATTTATGATTTTATATAAGAGGTATTTTACAATCAAATGCTATCGAGTGATTAGCATGCAACAACTCAGATTGCTCTAGCAGGTACCTCGAACTCTAAGAACTTAACTCCCATTCCAACCATTCTATGCTTTTATAGAAACTGTTGAGCAATTTTTGTTCTAGTTAGAATTTCTTAACCACATTTTCAGAACGTAAAAAGGACACTCAGGTCATACGGACGTACGGATGGACATGGCTATATCGAGTAAGCTCGTTGTTATGTTCAATAATATATATACTTTTTAGGATATAGCACGCCTCCTTCTACCTGTTGAATACAAAACATTGAAAATATTTACCTAACCAAGGAAAAGTTTCTACATCATATATAGCTTTACTTACCTAGGAAATGTCTTATATAGTATCTATAGTATATTTTACATATGATCAATATGATATATGTATTCATATATCTTTTTATCACATATACATTGTTCATAACTACCTTTAATTTCTATCCTATATCTATAAGGCATTTACTAAAGAGAATATTGCATAATATATACCTTTGCTGGGCAGCTAATGCATATATTTATCTTTTATTTCGCTTAGCGTTTTGGTTTCACATAAATCTTGTGATTTTCAGCGCCAGCTAAGCCAATTCGCACCTAATCCACCCTTAAAGGACAACACCTATCCTAACTAAGAGATGTGCGCTCTACCCTTATATCCTTTTTGTGTGTGTTTGCCTTCGGCATATGCATTAGCCGTATGTCCTGTCGAGTCTTTTGGGACTCATTCCTTGAAAATTGCCAATTTTCGAAATCGGAAACTTGCAAAAAAGAAGTAAGGAAACGAAACGAAAAGCAAAGCAAAGCGAAGGCAAAAGGAAAACAATAACAATGCATCTGAATTTCCAAGCATATCGAACCCAAACCGACAACGACAACGACAACGACATCGACAGAGATACCCAATTCTGAGGCCAATTCCCAATTCCAAAATTCGTAATCTTTTATTTTCCTTTTGTCTTGGACATTTTTCATTTTAAAGAGCAGACACAGACGGACGATGGACGACGGTCGCAGCGGGCAGATTAGGAAAAAAAAGGACGTCGCGACGAGTCGCTGTGAGACGACGACGACGAGGACGGTGACGACGACCTTCACGCATTGCATTGACCTTGTGACCCTCGTGTTGATTAGCATCAACTCTCGATTTGACCATTGTAGAAAATGTACGGCTTCTGTGTGTTTGTATTGGAATACTGGTATAAATAGATTTGCTTTATTCTTATCGATTATTCGCTGGTTCTTTATAAAATATTGTACAAAAAATTTACATTTAACTTTCATTTATCAAATTCAACTCTTGGTCTCTTGGCACTTACAACTAGACATCGACAATGGCCCCGATAAAAACAAAAATCGTGAGCTTTCAATGTGCTTGACGTTTTGCTATTAATCATGCTTAAGTGTCAGCGGGCAGTTGTTTATAAAGCTTTGAGCTTTTCATGAGCTTTGGGTGTGATTGACGTTTCTATTTGATATTTGCGAGCTAAGCCTTTCATTCAGCAATTTGATGCTGACTGAAAGCTCTAGCCAACTGCTTAAGCTACTTTCAGTGAGCTTCGAACATTAAACTTTGACATTTAATTCGGCTAAAGCAGGCTAAAAACAATTTTACAAGTTTTTCTAGCAGCTTTAAATACATTTCTTAATCAACTCTTTTAGAAGAGCTTTTAATCGTAAGCTTTAAAAATGAATTAATGGATTTATCTGCAAACTTTTGCACAGTCAGCTGACAGCTTTAAAAGAGCTTTACATATTCATTCAGCATTCAGCTGAAAGCTTCTATTCATTCGCTTAAAGCTAAGCCTTAAATAAATAAAATACGAACAAATCTCGTATGTATAGAAATCTTAAGTTTTATTGATTCTGAATCGCTGTCTCTTGCTATCGTATAAGCTTATATATCTATATATATATATATATCTAGTTATATATGTTACTTCAATCGTATGATGTATATTTACAGCTTATATGCAATGTATATATACAAAATAACGGTTTGTTTATAGAACTAAAAACAAAACAAAAAACCTCTTTAAATATTAATTAGTGCACAGCTTTCGCCCACAAAAACGAGGGTCGAACGTGGCTTTGCTGGGGGTTGCTTTTTCTGCTAGGTGGGTGTTGGGTGGGTTTCCGCCTGCTTCACTTGCTTTTGGCTAGCGAAAGGGAGTTGTTGTTGTTGTTGTTGTTGCTGCTGCTGCTGGTTGCTGCTGACTTGCCACTGCCGCCGCTGCTGCCGTTGTTGCTGTTGCCTTTCGGCGTCGCTGCTGGGGTCAATTTATTCGTTGCATGTGGCGAACTTTTGGGGCTGGCTGCCAGTGTTAAAGGCTGATGCGTGGATGGCGGCGTTGGCAGCGTTACATTGGGCAGCATCGGCATCACCAGCTGCTGCGTGTGCTCACCGCCAGCTCCCTCGTTTGTTCCACCCGCTGCGCTCCTCACCTTTTGCAGGTAATCATTGAAGACCTCGTGGCCGGCGCGTTGCATGCGCGACAATTGCTCCATGAGGCAGGCCTGCTGATAGCTGTAGACGGCGGGCGCAAAGTTGAATAAGAGATTCGACGGATTTGTCGCTGCGGCCGCCTGGGCGCGCATTAGATTCTCCTTGAAGAAGTTCAGCTGATTGGCGCTCGATGCAATGCCCAGCGGTGTATTTAGATGCGTATGTGGGTGTGCCGGTGGTGCCATTAGCTTTAGATTCGGATTGGTTGGCGTCATCTGCTGCTTGCTGTTGCCGCTGCTGTTGCGCTTAGCTGCATTGGAGCTGGCTTTGATCAAGGCCTGACTGCCGTTGCCGTTGCCGTGGCCATTGCCATTGCCATTGACATTGGCGTGTGCAAGATTTGCGGCATTGTTGGGTGACTTTTTGCTAGCGGGCACCTTGTTGACTTTGTTGTTGACAAAGCCGTAGGCAGCTGCAGCAGCAGCAGTAGCAGCTGTAGTTGGCGCTGGCAAATGTTGCAGCTTGGTGGCAGGCAATTCGGAACTGTTGCAGCTAGCTGCAGCGGAGTTCTGGCGCGGCAAAATGGGTCGAAACTTTTTGGCTGCCGTCTCCCCGCAGGCTGTAGATGGCGAAGAAGAAGAAGCAGCAGCAGCACCTGCTGCATTTCCTCCTGCTTGGCCCGCTTTGGGGGACTTGTTCTCGCTGGCATTGGGCGAGTGTTGGCTGCTGCGCTTCTCCGGGCTGGGCGTCTTTTTGCTGTCCATTTGCTGTGGCTGCAGCACCGGTTTGTGCGTGGGCGTTGCCTTCGGCGATGTCTTCGGCGGCACAGCAGTGGTGACAGCTGACGGAGGCGTGAGCCGGGCCAGCAAATGCTGAGGCGACGGTATTGTCTTGCTGGGCGGTGCAGGCAGCTTGACGGGCGGCATTGGTGTTACCTTCTCGCGCTCCTTCTCCTTCTCCACGGTCACGGCTGGCTGATCGGGCAGCTTGACAATCTCAATGTAATTGTTCACAGGACTCTTGTGCTTGGCGTGGGCGCCACTGCTGGGCGAGGAGGCATCGCCGTTATCTCGTGATATGGTTATCGACAGCGATGACGGTATATTGATGTTGCATGAGTTGAGCAATGACTTCACCTTGACTTGCTGCTTCTCGGGCGCATCCTCGGCAACGGGATTGGTATTCTGGTCGGCTTTGGTGGGTGGACTGGGGAAGAGGCCGCCGCCCAAACCGCCGCCAGCAGCGCCATTGAGCATGCTCTGCAAATAGTTGCTGGCATTTGTTGTCGCTGTTGTTGTTGCAGCTGTTGTTGCTGCCGTTGTTGTTGTTGTTGCGGCCGTGTTTGTAGGCTTGGGCGTATACTTGTAGGTGGGCATGGTCGGTATATTATAGTTGGGCACATATTGCGGCGAGCTGGGCGAATAGATGGGCGAATTGGGCGTGTACATGGGCGTGCGGCAACCGGGTGGCGCCTCTTTGCCCTTCGACTTGCTGGCATTGAACAAGGCCAAATTTAAATAGTTGTTTGACTTGTTACTAGAGTTGCTATTGTTGTTGTTGCTAGAGTTGTTGCTGTTGTTGTTGTTGTTGTTTGTCTTAGGCACTGGCGGCGGTCCCATTTTGTGTTCGGCTTGTCCCTGTTTGGGTCCATAGACATGCGACTTGCTCTGACCGCCTATGGTCTTGATTTCGGTGCCCGCATCCTTGAGCAAACGATTCACATCGCTGGGTATGTTGGCAAAAGGATTTGGCCGCGCGGCTTTCGGCAGTATGGGTTGATAGCGCTTGGCAATGGGCGTGCGATTGCCAGGTGCAGACATTTGCAGTCCGGCATGATGCGGTTGTTGCTGATAATGCGGTTGCTGTTGCTGCTGTTGCTGCTGCAGTGGATGTGCATGATGCTGGGGTGCATAAAGTGGCAACTGTGGCGTCTGCGGGACATTTCCCACCTTGTTGCTGCTGCTGTTGTGACGTGCTAGTGGCGGCTTGGCAGGTGGCGGGGGCATCAGTGGTTTGTCGGTGGCTGCAGGTGGCGACGGACAGTTGCTGGAGCTGACAGTGGGCGCGGTCAGACGTATCTTGAAATCCTCGCGTGGCAATGGGGGTGACAGCTTGGGTTTCTTGGACAGAGCCTTGACGGGCTCCTTGCTCTTGCGCTTGGAGGAGGCAATCGATTTGGGTGGCATGGCGCTGGGCGGCTTCATCAGCAGGCTATCATCCAAGTGTGCCTTGGATTTGTTAGCTGGTGCAGCGGCCGCAGCAGCAACGCCATTGTGCTTGGGCTGTGCTTGCTTCTCCGGCGACTCGAGTTTCACTTTAATGGGCGTCAAAGCAAACGACTTGAGAAACTCCGATTTGGGATCCTCCAGGCAGGCGCCGCTAGTGACGCGTGGACTAAGCACTGTGCTAACACCGTTGGGACTCAGGATGCGCTCCGTGCGAATAGTCAAGGGCGGCACAGTCAATGGGGATGGACTCTTGCGCTTCCGTTCGCTGGATGAGGAGGAAGGGCTGCTGCCGTTGGACGATGACTTGGGACTGCCATCCTTGTCCTTTTTGCTCTTGGAGCGCGATTCCTTCTCCGGCTTGAGCGGCTTGACAATCTCCTTGCGGTCTGGATCGGACATATTGATGATGGTAACACTATTCTGTTTGGACAGATCAATCTTCAGCTTGATGTTGGGCTCCTCCTTGTTGTAGCTGCCAGGCGATTGAGGTGGAGGGCACTTGGTCGTCGGACTCTTAGAATTCGACTTTGGCGAATGATGATGCTGATGCTGATGTGGATGCTGATGCTTCTCGTGCTTCTCCAGCACATTACGATTGATGACCAGCTTGAGCGACTGCTCAGTGGGTGAAGCCAACTTGGGAGCAATGCGAAATTCTTCCTGCGGCTGCTCCACTTTGATGCGTGGCGACTGAGCAGGAGACGGAGTTGGCGGAGCTGCTGCAACAATTGCTGGCGGTGAGAGTGTGGGCACTTTGACAACCAAAGGAGGCGTTGGGGGCGTGGTTCCAGGCGAAACCAGCTCCTGTTTGAGCGGCAGTATCTGTGGCTTAACCACGATTGGGGCAGGCTTTATCAGCGGCTTCTTTGGCGATTCGTAGACACGAAAATAGAAACGCATCGGCGCATCCCGCTTCCACGTATATATATACGCGATATCCATAAGCGTATAGTAGTCCTGCAGCGCAATTGTCTTCACCTTGTACATGATGTCGATGCTGAAGTTGTGAGCATCAATTTCGTACTTATCGTAGACGAACTTCTTCAAATGGCTAACACGGCACATGGCCGGACATTGAAGGTAACGTGGACGCAATGTGTCACCGAATTCCAGCTCCGAATCGATATTCAATTCACTGCAAGGGATGGAAGAGAGTGTGGAAGAGACATTGAATTAGAGAGTGTCAAAGAAGACGTTGTTAGGGCTAATGAAAGGAAGATGAAGCAGCATCGAAAGATCTCGATCTATGGGATCGATATGCATAGATACCCTTATAAACTTCAATTTATATCGATAACAATCGATGTATGTATTAACTGGAAATTTGCTTAGCATTGAAACTTACCCAAGTTCCGCATACTCCAGCGACAGGGACATATCATCGGAGGGACTGAATATCAGATGCTCGGTATCATCGCCTCGCTGTTCGGGCGTGGCCAATGCCGCCTCCTGTGGACGATCCTTGTAGAAAGCGCGCTTACGCATGAGTTCACGTTCATAGAGACCAGGCACGAGCTTATAGACAATCGCCTGCAATGTGGTATCGGATCTGTAAAAAGGAAGAAGAGTGCGCGTGGTTAGAAACAAGGTGTTGCATAATGTCCAAAGGGCAGAGGCGACACATGTGTGTGCACTCAAATGGAAAAACCAAGAACAAGAGAAAGAGCGAAAGGGAGAGCTAGCTAGATACAGATAGAGAGATAGAGTGAGAACGAGACAGCGCGCTGTATCAGACAAGACGGCTGCAGTTCCCACATGATGAAAAGCGGGAAAATGAGTCGAAAATAAGAAGTCAGTCGCGCGTAGAGCAGCAAGCGACTTCCTTGGCGCAAAAGGAAGGAAGACAACACACGCACACATGAATAGATATATATAAGGATATATATATATATAGAGTACAAATTAGACGGCAGATGCAATTGCTTTTATGGCACGCAACAAATGCCGCGCTCTGTGGCAGGGGCAAGCAACTGTATGGCATGCGCTGTATTGCTGCCACACAGAGTGGTGGCTGTAGTTATGGTGGTGGTGGCGCACAGGAACTCGCATTAAGTCGCATTTCATAGGAAAGAAAGAGAAAAAGAAAGAAGAAGAAAACGTCGCTCGCCTTCAATCAAAATGATTTTGTGAAAGGAATTGAACAATTGCGTGGCTCAAAAGAATAAGAAAAGGAATTTCGAGCTGTATATAGGAACATAAGTAGATGAGGCGCATAATGACGAGGGGTCGTTGTTTAGGGTCCTTGCCATGAGCCAAAAAAAAAAGGCAAAAGGAAACGAGGAAAAAATCAGAACTAGCTAAGATCATTTACATGCCAGCGCAGGCTTCGGCAAGCTAATTTCATATATTATATATATATAACAGACTAAAAAGTAAAGATATGAATTGTGATATAGATAGATAGACAATGAAATTAAGATGTAAATATAAAGTTAGAAATTATGAAGAAACTTCAACATGCTGCATTTTTATAGACAAAGTTAGAAGTGAAGAGAAAAGATAATCTAAAACATTGAGTTGATATATTAAGCAAATATCAATATTGACTGTTCCTATAAATGATTATCTTCCTGCACCATATACAATAGATGTATGCTTTGCTAATATTTCTACATATTAGTGAGGATTATAGACAATATTGAGGTTAAACAATCCTTAGTAAACAAAGGAATCTATTATAAAAAGGTTAAGAGGCTTTACTATGATTGCCTTTTGATGAATCAGTGATTATATTGGGCTTATGAAGAGTACTCATTCCATTATATATTATATATATTGACAGTTAGTTACAGGTTCAAATCACAGCCAAATCTCGGCATCTAAGGTTAATATTGCAATAAGTGAGGTTAAGTTTGACATTCCAATGATCGAATGACGCGTCGATTCAGTGAATGTGACTAAAGGTTTTAAGGTTAGCCACATAAATGTCACAAGCGCGACATATTCGACTTGAAGTACACAAGTTGTAGGAAATTCTAGTTTAGCCAAAGTCTCACACTAGCTCGCCCGCTTAACTCAACTGTAAAGTTTTCTGTGTGTGTGTGTGTGTGTGTTGGGAGGATTCTTTGGGTTCAAGCACCACAGAACTTTCGCTGCGGTAATTGTGGTTTGGGTAGTCCTGCAAACTTGGCCAACAATCTGGTAAAAGCTGTGGGTCAATCTTCAAGGGGAAATGCCGAAAGACACCTTGAATTGAATTCAAGTTTTGGGCTGATGTTGCTGTCGACCAACTTGGGCGTTTGCTTAACTTTTTTGTGAAGCCTGCCAAATATTTGCACTAGCTGTCACAGTCTAACTTCAACTATTGCTATCTCTCTCGCTCTTTCCCTCGTTGGCCTCGCACGTTTCTTATGAAGGAAAACGCGTTCGTGACGTGCGAATCAATTTAAGCTTACAGCTTTAATAAGAGACAGCTAACAGCCAGACAAGGCCAGAACCACCCGCTGCCAGGCCGAGCCACCCCACGGCGCGCACACAAACCGTTATATACAAATTGTGTGTTGGGAGTCAGGTTGAAATCTAGTCGCAAAGATAATGAATACAAGACTGAAAAGATAGTCGCAGGCAGCAGCTCGCTCCATAAATGCCAAGCTGAATGAATGAAGCTCCAGCTGCTGCTGCTGCTGCTGCTGCTGCCAAATGGTGTGAAGTCAGCAGAACAAACTATATAGAATGGCTATATATATACATGTTTATATATATATTTGAGTACAGCTCTATAAAAGAGAAGACAAGTGGTTTTTGTACGTGGTCTCGAGTCTCCAATTAAATTTATTGCAAAACTTTATTGTTTAACCCAAAACAGAAAAGAAATCAAAGAGAAAACAAAACAAAAGCCGAGTCTATTTATTTTGCTTTCATTACGTGTTTTCTTTTGCCAACCAAAAGGTAAACAAAACCAAAAAGACGAAACAACAACTGCAAAATGTTGCCCGCCATGTTTTTTTATTGTACGATGTGTGGCGCCCACGCCCCAAAAGACAAAATAATAAAAAAAATCAGAAAAAAAAACTGCTGCCCAACTGATAAACTGCAGGCCACAAAACGTGGCAGCATTCTGCCAAACGCATTTCCAAGAAGTAAATCGAAAAAAAAAAAACAAAAAAAAAACAGCAACAACAACAACAGCAGAAGACAGAGATAATTAACGGGCGGGTCTTGTGCCGACGGCCAGAGGCAACGATAAAGACTGAGAAAGGAAGCAACAATAACAACAACAGGAGCAGCAACAAAGCAGCTGGAAACAGTTCACAAAAGCCAAAAGGCACAGACGAAACACGAACAGTGCCAAGCTGAGTTCCTGCTTCCTCTTAACCCGGCCAAAGCAACGAGTTTTGTTATTGGACGCCCAAATTGAAGACCTCCGAGAAAAGGGAGCCGAAAAAGATCAGCAGCCAATTTTATTTTGGATTCTAGAGCTCAAAATAGCTAATGCAAATTTCAATAAAGTCAAATTGAATTGGAAGAGTTTTCAAGTTTTTCTTTTGATTACATAATTTATCAATTGAGAATTATAAATACTTAAGATACTTTTTAAAGGAATTAAAAAAGATACAATTGGTGGAAATGGAATGGAATGGCATAAACTTGGCTGTAAACTAAAAATACTACAAATTACAAGAAATTGCTCTTCTGATGATTTGATAGGCGAAATAAAATGGAATATATTGAAATTAAATGAAATGGCATGAAATTCACTCTAATAATTTTGCAATTGTTGAATAGGAACAAATTGTTGCTTCACTTTGAGATTGCAGAATTGAAATAAAATTAACAAATTTGTTTATTGTCTAGTATAAGACAGATTGCAATTAAAAACAGCAATTAAAAAAAAATATGATTGGACTAAAATGGAAGTGGAATGACTTGAAACAACAGTAGAAACAGTTGAATAGGAACACAACTTTTCAAGTTGTTTTTGTGCATGGCAAAGAAAGGAAAAAAATTCGCTTAATTCATTAGTTTATTGAATCAAGATTTGACTCAATGCTCTATTAAAGTCAAGTTCTAATCTATCTAAAATTTTCATCTTAAACATCGAGCCATTCAACTGCATTAAACTCTTGCCCTCCGCACAGACAATTGAAGTGTATTCAAGGCTTCCGCTGTGCTCTTTTATTATCTAATTGTAGTTGTCAGCAACAGAAATATATATAAATAAATCTAGATATATATATATATATAAAGATATATCTATCTCTTTGTGAATTGCGTCTTTTACTTACTTGATGTTGGGCTTGGCATTGTTGATGACCATCTCGCAGCGAGGACAATAGCGCTCCTTGCGCAGGTGATTGATGAGGCAACTGTGGCAGACTGCAATCAAAAGGATGAGAGAGAGAGAGAGTTAGAAACTGAGAGAGACAGTGATGAAGAGCTGCGCATAAAACAGTTACAAATTGTGTTCTGTAGCGTTGCGTTGGGTCTCCTAGAAATTATACAAATTTATGTAAAACCTTGGCAAAAATAATTCCCCCAGCGTTACGCACGCAGCTTATGCCACGCCCACACAACAGCTACCCAAAATGGATATACGATGTACCAAAAAAAAAAAATAGGAAATGCAAAAGCAACGCAATCCAGCTATTCGATGCGAACGTGCCACACGAGAAAAAAGTTTGTAAATAAGAGAAAAACGAGTAAAAGCTCGACTGTGGAAATACTCTGTAATAACTGTGTTAGAGAAGGGACTTGATGTAAAAAATATATATTAATAAGCCAACTTTAAATGTCATGCTTTAAGAACTTAAGGCAAGCTGGAAAAAAACTCCAAGTATAACTAAAATATGGTCATTCCAAGTTTAGAAAAAAAGAAGAAAAAACGAAACATTTTCATCCAATAAATCCAGAATCTTAAATTAAAATAGAATCTGACTATAAAAATCTTTTTTCTAGGATAAAATGAGAATTTATATATAATTTATGAAACTGTTCATGCTCCCTTGATACTTGCTTCAAAGTTCTGTTGCATTAATATGAAACCCATTTTTTTAATACAATTATACACGTAATTTTGAACTCCCTCACACACACGCCCAGTACGTGTATACCCCATTTCCCCTTAGTGGCAACGCGGTATGAAAAAGAAAAAAGTTTGTTTTGACTTTAATGTCAATGGCAGTCTGTCTGTCTGTCCGTTTGTCTGTCTGATGCTGTGTGTCCCGTCCATTCGTACCCGCTACAACTGTCACCCAAGCGACAGCAACATGCAGCAAAGTGAGACAGAGATTGGAGACTGAACCCAGACAGGATACAGCAGCAGCGAGGAGGAGAAGGCAGCGAGTGGGCAGATATGGAGCAATAGGTAGACTGGGCAGGGCAACGGCAACACATTCGCACACATTCGCAGCGCCTGTTACGCTTGTCTGTCAGTCCAAAAGACATGGATGGTAAAAAAAAAAATGACATTACTACGGGCTGAAGCCTGTTGTCATTTGGGTGGTTGGAGGCTGGTGCGCGACGAAAATGGCCTCGAGTCAGGGCTAGCAACAAGGCGAATGCAACAAAGTTAACAAAAAGAGAGTCAAAATAAAAGAAAGGCAGAACAACAGCTGTTGCTGGCAGTCAGTTGGTGCGTTGCGAATGGCCAGCAGCCAAAATTGGAACGGGATGGCAACGCTGCCAGTACAAGAAGAGGAGGAAGACGTAGCAGCAGCCGCATGCGGCATTGAGCTGTGTGCAACAGATTTAAATGAGCCTCGGGAGCAACATGAAATGCCAATCGACACATGGTGGTTAGACAGATTTACTGACTGGCTGACTAACTGATGGACAGATTGAATGAAGTCTAACTGCATTTTGTATCGGATGCGCAGTTAATCGAATGTCATAATTTGTCAGCCGATTGACGTCGCTAATATGCGTAGAATTTGCCACTTATTGTGGAATATGACAATCAAATGCAAATTCAAAGATAAATGCCAGCGATCTGGCAACGCCGAGTGACAGACTAATTAAGTTGGCAGCGCTCGAAATGAGTGGGCGTTAAACTTTATAGACTTTGGTGCATATGAAAGAACTTTGTCTAATTTTTGAATTTAACTTCTTTTCTACTTAAGCTAATTCTTTTTGCCAAAACATTTGGCAGCACTTCAAATCGCAGTTTGGTTTAACTAACTTTATTAAGTTTTTGACAAAATTCCAAATAAAATTCGGAATTCGAAATTCCAAACGAATTCTGCTGGCTGCTTTAAGAGTTCAACTTGTTAAGTTGGCTCCGCTCGCATATAAATTTCGTTCAATAAAACCAAAATGCATTTTGTGTGCACCAAATTGAAAGTCAACAAAAGAGTGAAAAATGTCGCTGTGGAAAAGCGTGAAAACTGCTGCAGCAAAAGAAAAACTGAAAACAAAAACTGTAGCTTGAACTCGAACCGGAAATTGAAGTAACACAAAAATCGCTCAAAAGACAACTAAAACGTTGCTTTTTCTTTAAACCCGTCTGGCAGTCCAATCGAAGGAGAGAGAGAGAAAGAGCGAGAGAGAGGCAGTCGGGTGGGCTAGTGGGGAGTCTCGCCGTGTTTCAGTTTTCCACTTGAAAGTTGTCTGATTTATGGTTCAGCAGTTATTAAGCTTGAGTATCCTCGCAGAACCATTTGTAATTATTTAGTCAGACATATGTGCCATACATCTAACTCCATCCGAGATGCTTTTTTCCAGCTCTCTAGACACAAGCATACTTGGGGCTATATAGAGAAGCTGTTTTTGGAGCTATGCAAAAGAGTGAGTCTCAGTCTGAGTCCGTGCCTAAGAAGAGGAAGCTGCAACACCAGGCTCATTAATGTTGCCCATTAACTTATCGTCAAGGCAGCATCTGGCTTGCCGTCTATGGCACAGCTCAGACAGGGTAAGCAGGGGGCAGGCAGAGTTTTTGCCAGTTAGTATACCCTGTAATAATTGAAAACAGATAAAACTGGGTTGCTACATGTTGCCTATGAATGTAACTATGCAATAAGCAACTCTTTGCAATCTTTTAGGTTTCTATCAAATCAATATAATCGATAAGTATCGGTTTTATATGATTTTAGGACATGCAAAAATGGTAATAAGATGCAGCAACTGATATTTATAACTGTCCAATCAACTATTTGTATAAAGCTAATATATCTTGAAATCGATAAATATCCGTTATTAATCGATATTTTTGTTGAAAGCGTTTTATTTTGAAAAAAAAAAAACAAGAAATCTAGTTCACCACAGACTAGAATACAGAACACTTTGATATTCCTTTCTTAATATGTTCGATAATTATCGATTATTTTCTTAAGACTTCACTATACTTCATGAAAAAAATACTTCATAACCAAATTATAAATTACATATTAATCACATAAATATGAAGTTGAACCTCTGTCAATGATTCACAGTCCATAAATACCGATTGCCTTGATGAATAAGAAAGAAATAGGTTTTATAATTGGCATGAAACGGAATGAAAACATATTGATTTTTAATTTTCTTCTAATCTACTTTACATTTGACATTTGCCTAATCCTTTGCTGCACACAAAAGTGTCACAATCGATAAATATCGATTTTTTACTTGCATACTTTACTTTCTATATTCCTTTTAAACTGAATGAAATTAGTGTTAAATGCGCCATGTCAGCATTGCTAGTTCTCAGAGCAACTGATGTTGACTTTCTCACAGGGTATTCGCGCCAGTCAAGAACCGCTCGCTTGGCTAACTACTTCTAATTAGCTTTTGCGCCTAACCATGAAGTGCCAAGGATTCGCGGTATCTGAGGGTGGTTTCGAGGAGTGGCAGGGGTGCGTGCGGTGGCTTAGGGGTTTTTATCTCTCTCCGTTGGTACTTACACGAGTGCAAACATTCCACGATGGTCGTCGCATTGATCAGATAGCCCTGGCACAAGTGGCAGATGATGTGCGCATTGACGGCCGTTAGAAGCACGGGGCGTGGCGTTGTCATCATCAATGTTGTCGTTGCCGTTGTTGCAGCCGCTTGTGGCGCCTCTTCGTTGGAGCAGTGCTCTTCGTCGGCGGAGGCGCCACCGTTGCTGTTCGCATCCTCAATGTTGGACCAGGCGGATGAAGAAGACGACGACGAGGATGACGATGATGAGGAGGAGGATGATGATGAGCATGACGAGGCAAATGATGAACTGTTGTTGTTGTTGTTATGCGAACCCTCTGCAACAGCAGCAGTTGTTGTTGTTGTTGTTGCTGCTGTGGCGGCTGGAGGTGTTGCTTCTTTCTTAATGTTGTTGTTGTTGTTGCAAGCATGCATCGACTTTGTGTTTGTTGTTGTGAATGCATTAGTTGCGCCTGTTGCAGTAGTTGTTGTTGTGTTTTCACTTTTTACTTTAATGCTGTTTGCTGCGCTCTTTTGCTGTTGCTGCTGCTGCTGCTGTTGTTGTTGTTGCTTTTGTTGCTTTTGCATTTGCATTTTATCAACACTTGTCGCCGTTATATTTATTGCAAGCTTTTTGCTGCTATTGTTGTTGTTGTTATTGTTGCTATTTGCATTGCTGACAAAGCTTTTGCCCGCTTTTGTTGCTTTGGTCGCCATTGCCAGTGTTGATAAATGCTGCGACTGCGACGCCGACGCAGCAGCTGGCTTTTGTGCATGCGCCATTGTTGTTGTTGCCGTTGCCTTCGACTCCGGCGTCATCATAATAATAATAATAATAATAGAAGTTGCGCTAAAATTCGCTTTTGTTTTCTGCAAGGAAAGAAAAAAAACGTGGAAATTTAATATGCAGCCAAACGACAAATAACAAATGCAAATACCAACTCACACACATACAATAATAGACACACACACTGAAACATACATATCGAAATGCGCACATATACATATGCATGCATGGAAAAAAGAGAGCAGCGGCGAGTAGGGGTATTCACGCTGTGAGCATAAAAAAATAGTTGTAAAGCTTATAGAGTGCAAGGCACATGCCCTTTGAGTAAAACACTATAGAATGGTACAGTAAAGACTAGAAAATTCATTCAATATCAGCTCATTTTTAGCTTAAAATTTAATTATTTTATTTTTATTTTTTTTACAGCAACTTTTAACTGAATTTTTTTCAACTAAATTTTTTAATGTATTTATTTTTTTTTACTTTTATTTTTCTTTGCATAAAATAGCTTACATTTAAAAATATAATAATATTCATATAATTATTATATAAATTAAATTTGGTCTGGTTTATGTTTTTTTGTCTTAATATCAAAAATAATATAGAAAATATAGAAATCTAAAAAGCTGTTCAAACAGGTAGGCATATATAGGACTATCAAATTTGACTATTCTAATTTTCCCTTTAAAACTTCAGACTCTCTTTGCTTTCATATTAAATTGCTGAGCTTTCCACTTAGCGAGCATTTACTCTACACTTTCTACTTCAGCTTCAAATAATCCTTAAATACAATATGTAAACACAATAAAAATAAGTTTCAAGTTGCCAAACCCCACACACACACACACATACACACATAGAAAATCTTAAATTTCCACTCGTAGCATTTTCTGTGGAAAAACATAAAGAAATGTTTGTTTTTTTTCTCTCTCTCTCTCTCCCTCTCTTCATAAAGTCGTTGGCCTCGTGCATTTTGTGCTGATTGTGAAAATGTTAAATAAAATAAAAGATAAAACTCAGTAGCAGCAGCAACAGCTGTTTTTTTTCTTCTTTCTGTCAATCTATCTGTATATAAATGCATAATGATAAGAAAATAGTGAAAAATAAGCAGACAGAGCCAACCTTATAAAGCGAACACGAGTTATGGACCATAAACAGAAAAAAAAACAAAAAAAAAACTCAATGTCAAACAGAAAATCTCATGTTAAATTCATAAAATTCACATATTTCCTCCATTTGCCATATAAGTAATTGAAAGTCAAAACTGTTAAATCACTGGCTAACAGAAGAGACTATATATAAATATATTCTTTGTATGTGCAATCAGTTGATGGATAATGGATGCTTGCTCCACACTGACTACCCCTGCCCCTGCCCTCGCCCCCTTCTACCTTTATGTCCTTCTCCCTCCCTCTTCAGTTGCCCAGGGAATGTTAACGACTGCCGAACGACCCTCTTCACACGCATACTACTGCAAATTGCATTGGTTCTCAAAAGGGAGCCCCATATAGAAAGAGACAGAGAGAGTGGCAGAGTTAACAGCCAGATAAGTTGGGTTATGTACGCTTTTTTGGTCAAATGAAAATGGCTTGAAACTGAACTCCCTAAAAGCACAAATGCGAGTGCGAAATGTTTTCGAAAAAAAAAAAAATACTTTATAATTTCAAGTTGTTTTTGCATCAACGCGCGCCAGTAAAAAGTTTTGCACAAAACTTTTTACAGCAGGAGCCAGGGCCAAACTCTCCCTTTCTCCCTTGCTCCCTCAGAAAATGTAAATATGAATGAATATGAAATGTATTCAGGGACGCGCACAAGCAAATGAACGGTGCTGCCTTTAAAATCCTTTTTACATAAAATTTAAGTGAGCGCAGACACACACATACATTCACCCATACACGCAATAGCGTACCCAAGTTTAACCCTTCCCAGCAACAACATCAACAGCTCAGGCAGTAGCAGAGCGCGCGCAAAAAAAAAAAAAACAAGAGTACGAAAATGAAAAGGATAAAAAAATAAAAGCAAGCAGCGGAATTTCACGTGAGTTAACGTTCGAGAACAAAAGCGCGGTCTGCACGACTGCAGCTATGCGCTACGCAGAAGGCTACGCTAGTGAAATGCAGCGGGTAGGGTGAATTTGATAGCGACCAAGACTTTATCTCATTTCTCACACACAAACATACATATATAAATACATACAGTCACACGCACTACTTTCCATTCAGCAACGAAATAAAGTAAAGCAGTTAAAAATATTCAATTTTACTATATATGTTTATACGTAAATGTTCGTAAAGCATATTTATGTAAAGAGTAATAACAGCATGTAAGCACACACATATACATATATATATATTTATGTATAAGCTCACTTGCCAATCGCAAATGTAGACACCATGTGCGTGTGTGTATAAAGGGGGGCACAAAAGCTGTTGCTGTCGCTGCTACTGTTTTTGTTTTCAGCTACTTTCCGCTTCTACTTCACTTACTTCCCTCTGCTAGAGGCTGAGTACAACTTCTGGAGTGAGAGTTGTGAGTGTGAGTGATTTTTTTTAATTTGGGAAAAGACACTGACGGGGAGGGAGCATTAGCAGCGCAACAGCTGTGCACCGACAGGCAGGCAGCGGCAGTGTTGTAAAATGTTAGTGGAGCAGAGATATAAAAAAAAGAGAGCATATAATTTGCAATTGCACATTTCGCTCAGAGGTATGTTGCGTTTGGCCTGCTTGTGTGTTGTTATTTTTACCTGTGTAAAGATTTGACTGCTAATCCAGTTGAATGCGCGGCATTTTGTTGTTGTTTTTATCCAATTGCTGCAAGAAGTAAACGTAATCCAAAACGCGATGCAGCCGTTGATATTGTTGTTGTAATAATTCAAAGTGCAGTTATTGGCATATTTGCTCACGCACACTTTCACAAATACATACACACAAATGCATATACATATATATTCTTCGTTTCGCTTTAATTAGATTTTCAACATTTTATCTTATACCTTTCTTTCTTCAGCTTCAGCTTCAGCTGTTTGCGTTGCTACGTTTTATTGCTTGCTTTACACTTTACTCCTCTACTTCGTTGCTTTTGATATTTCTCAACACAAAACACTCACACACATATATGTATATACAGTCGCACACAGCATAGAAACTCGAGCGCTGCTGCGGCTGTCACTTTGGGTTATTTGCTTTCGTGTGCACCTTTATTGTGTATTATGCTTTGCCTTATGTTTTCTGCACACGCACACAAACGCCGCTGCTGACGCGCACTGCGACTGCGACGTTTACATAGACGTCGTCGTGTATATAAAGCGCAGGCTGTTTGCTGCCTTCTGATATCGTCGTCGTTGTTGTTGTTGCGGCATTTGTCACACGAGACACAAAGGAAATTTCTAGCTTTTGCACAAGCGATGCCTTTTAGTACTTAAGTTACTTTCACTTTATATTATTTAACAATAAATTATTAATTTTTGTAATTAATTATTTATGTTATTATAGTAATATATTTAAATGAGTGTGATACGCTTGGCAGTTGAAGTAATTTAATATTTTGGCGATGAAAAATGCGCGCACGTCTGTTCGGCTCAACTTTCCATGTTCAACTGACGAAACGACACGACGGCTGAGACGCTGACACGCTGCCTACGCTGTCTTTATTTACTTGCGCAGTCGCCGCACTCATACACATACGCAACGCCTATTTACATTGACGGCGGCCAACTGCCTGCCCTCTGCTGCCGTTTTTTACGTTTTCCTTTTTCTCTACTGCGCGCTCAGTGGCTGCCACAATACTATCTCGCTCGCACACTAACTCTCACTGGGCGTGCAACTGCTGCGCACTCGCTCTCGCTTACACTCGTTGATTTTATTTGCGTTGGTCTCTTTTGCTGCACAACTGCTGCTCTCATACGGCAAACGAAAACTGCGACGGCTTTTGTATCTCATTCGTTGCTGGCGACCGCGAAACGAACTGCTCTCGTTCGAAGTTGGCTTTGCACTGAGTTGACGACGTCTGGTCGTTGTCGTCGCCGTTGCCGTTGCCGTTGCTGTTTGCTATTGCTGTTGCTGTTGCTGTTGCTGTTGCTTTTGCTGTTTGCCTTTTGGCTCTTCTGCTGTGCCTGCTGTTTCTTTGTTTCTTCGACGCTGTCGCTGCCCATATACACACATACCGACATTTGTGTGAAAGGAAAGGGCTGTTGGCTGTCTCATTGTCGACGCCGAAGCGTATATAGGGCTTATGTATTAAATGCTTTATGTGCATGCCGTTCAAGAGCCTTGTGTGTGTTTGTTATGTGGCGTGGGTTACCCTTCAGCTTGAGTGCGTGTAAGTGTGCCCATATGTATGTATGTTGAGTATTTAATAAGCATTTTTGCTTTGATCTCTGTTCAGAGCACGGATGTGTGTATATAAAGAGGAATGTAAGCTATGCCATAGTATATATATGTCTGTATATGGTTATATAAATACGTTTGAAGATTTACGCACATAAATGAAAGTACTGAAGAAAAAGTGTGTCCATATCTATTTACAGACATATTGTAATATACATACGTGCTTATGTATAGAGGTGTATATTACAGGAGAATGTAAAATATATAAGGGTAGTTAGCCTGATATGTGCATTTCATTTTATGTATATCCATTAATCCCAGGTGTTTCCAGCGGCAACCATTGGCTTCACGTAACGTCTCTGCCTTGCCTGCCAGTGTTGCCGCACAATCTCACAGCGAGTTTTGAAGGTTCAGGTGACAAACAAACACTCAATTAGTCAACTTTTGTATATACAAATACGTAATCCTACACTCTCATCCAATAAATATACAAATTTCACAAATATTATTTAGGCAGCATTGCATCGAAGGCGTTGTAAAGCTGTTTTTAGTACCATTTACGTGTCCAAAAACATCTGTGTAAAATGATATATGTGTTAGAGAAATGAAATTATAGAGTGTATATAAAAAGAAAAGGAACTACAAGTTAATTCCAATAGAAAATGGCCAATATAGCATATAAATCTAAAATGAAGGAGTGAATTAACAAATACTTATATTAAAGAGGAGAGAGATATATATCTCAGACTGTACATATCTTTGTTAATAATATATTATTGTATTCTATGGTCCATAGTCTAAAGTAGTATAGATTAGTGTACTGAAAGCGCACAACTTAATGTTTTTGACAAGTTTACAAATTTTACTTTTGATATTTTCAAAGTAATAGAAAAACTAATTGATTTGCAAGACTTTTTCTTATATGGAAACACAAACTCCTGAAGACTGTAGTTAGAAGACGAGAGTTATGCAATCAAAGACTACATACTTTTCAATATATCTGAGCTTAAGAGTCACTTTACAACAGTAGATTTGATAAGAGAATAAGTGTATATAGGGAACATACATATAACATATAATATGGATTGACTTTTTATATCCTCTATATCTATTCAACGTAGAAATTCAGAGCTGTCAACTACTGAATTTATTAGGTTTTCTAGAGTTTATTTGAGTAGTTGAGTATACTTCTATTAAAGAAATATCATCTAAAGCTGGGACTGACCTTGAACTTCATATTCCTTGTAAATTTACCAGATGAATTGTCTCTATTTATGATATTTTTTTAGATAACTGAGCAATAGGCCATACTTATTGATTGAAGGCAGTATTAAATGTAAAATGTATTGTTTCATATCATGTATATATATTAAATGTATTGGAAGCTGATTAAATTTAACTTAACAGCCCAATTTGAACCTGTTTAGAAATATTTATTTACATTTTTGGACAGTCAACTAGACTATCAATAAAAGAAATCTAATTTCATTATTTAATTATAATTTAACTTTCCATGTTTAATGCTCACGAATTGTCCAAGGAGTAGATTGCTAGATAGATGTTAAAAGCCAATAGGATAAACAAGTAGACGTACTCCAGTTGATAGTTGAGAGATGACTACCAGATATCTTGATCTGTGTGTCAACTTGCTATAGTTCTGTAATACAGCTACATATATAAGCGCATATGTGCCCACATATAGCTTTCATTACTCAACGAGGTAAAGACCAGACAGCATCTTTGTACTAAATTTGGCGACTCGAACTCTTAAACATGCGAGATATTCTTGAGTAACTCAAATTTTATATTGATTTTTATGGCAAATCTGGTAAATTTTGCGACGATTTAATGTTCGTTCGAGCTGAAGAAGCTATAGAAGGAGAGCTATTTCAAGCTTAAAATCTTATAAATTAGCTCTTTACACAGTTGATTACATCAAGCATACCTATATACAAAAGCTATAGTATAGCTATAGGTAAATAATGCAAAAACATAAGTTTATATGTTATATACCTATTTCGTATGAGAAGCTCAGATATATACATACATGCACATCTATACACGTATATATATAAATGTATAACTTGATTCTTCTATCATATATTTGATTCGTCTTTATTTTTTCGGCTCCATAGTCTCAAGTCTAGTGCATTTCACTGAAATCTGGCCACTCGACAATATTCGTTAATTCCGTATACAGAAGTTGCATATTTGCACGTAGGCTTCCCACTCACACACACACACACATACACACAGAAACTTACACAAGTGAATCAGCAATCAGCATTTGTGTTTACTTTTCCCTTCTCTACATTTGGCGACTGAAGAAGAGCGAGTGGGAAAGGCAGAGGGAGAGGAGAGCGAGAGAGAAAAGTTCTCCAATCAGTCGACGTCTGCACTTTGCGCATTCATTCATCGAATGTTTTTCTTGTTTTTAGTTTTTGCTTTATTTTTCGCTTTTTTTTATGCATTTTAGCCGTTCACTGCGGCTGGTCTAATGGCAATCCGTTGATTACGCAACCAGGTGCAAGAGAGTTGCTAATGAAGACGCCAATGTTGCTGTTAAACTTCTTGTCAAAGCACTCGTTGAAGTAATTATGCATTGATTAAAGTGATTTGTCTCTGGTAGTTTTAGTTGTAGCTTTTTGATCACTTTAACTTGCTGTTAAGCTGCTCGTTAAACTTAATGGAAATTGTATCAAAATAGTTTTTCCTCTTTAATTCTATTCTTTTTCTGTCAAAGTAGTTGTCAACAGAAATGTGCAGCTGCTTGAAGCAGAATGTTGAACATTTTAAAACTTTTCGAAGTTTTCTGCATTTTGGCTGGGTTTTGAGTTAAAGCTCTTGTCAAATTATTTACTATGAAAATTTATTATTGGTTTATTTTCGTTTAATAGAGTTAAGAACTCGAAGCTTTTATTTATATTTCTGAACCGCGAATTGATTTAGTAAACTCCTTCCTAACGTCAATTACAGTTAAATTTCTTATAACACTTAATGCTAAAGTGCTTGTCAGACTGATTTCAGTTTGTGTTTGCCCAGCTCTAGGCCGCTGCTGCTTGAATGCTTGTTAAACCCAATGTCAAGGTGGTTGTCAAAGTATTTTTGACATGATTCGAGATGATCTAGTGCAAAATTTTGTCATTTTTTAGAGTTAAGTAAAGCTATCTGATTGTTAGTAATATTTATAGAAAGCTTTCATCTGTAGAACATTTTAAGAGTTTACTTCTGGAACAAACACTTCTCGAGGAAAGTACGTAAATAAGCTTAAATTTTGTTTACGCCTCACAAACTCAGACTTGACTTGAAAATCATAAAACTTGCCAACAGATAAAGAAGAACTCTCATCAACTTGACAATATAAAGTATCCTATATACGTATACATATTTCCATATGATATCTGTATATATGATACATATGCATTCACATTCTATAAAGTAAGTTCACTGGGCAAATGGGGAAAACCAAAATCTTTTAGTTAAACAACAAAAAGTATTCTAGTCGGGAGTGTGCCACTAGCAAATACCCGGAACTTGCTGTTTTCTAGGTGTATTGTGTAGATTATATAGATACACAAAAATATATATAATCTCAAATTTTATGGTTCGATATCTTAAAGCGTATTACCT